AATATTAACATTAATAAGGTACAGCACATTTTTTTTTGAATTTTTTTAGTCTTGTCAATATGAGTTGTTTTTATCGGAAGAAAAAGGAAGAAGGAAGAGTTAGAAATCGGAACACGAAATAAAAAGTTATTTCCAGGTATCTTCATCGATTTAAAAATAAATTCTAGAAAAAGAAGTGGAAAAGGGAATTAAATATGGAATCTAAGTAAAATATCAAGGAAAAAATATTGTCGATAATGATAGGGCACTACATTAAAGAAAAAGAATAAAGAGCTTATCAGCAGGTTAAATTTTGAGATCCAGATATCAGCTACGGCAAGAGGAATGTTTTTTAGAAGATAGTCTCTCGCTGAAAGAAAGATAAAGCCGTGACAGTTCATTCAAGGTGGGCGCGGTTCATTATTAGAATTTTTTTTTTGTGAAAGGGCTACGAAAAAGAAAAGAAAATTATAGATTGGTCATAATTATGTATAAGGTACTATGAGAAAGGTGTGCTTTAAAACTTGTCCGCTTTTTTGTTTCTTTATAACCGCGTGAAAAATGAAAAAAGAAAACTGAAAATGTTTATTTATACAAAGGCATGCTTTTTAATTTGGCGTATTGGATTTCGGCTAATAAATTTGCCTACCAACTTTACTGGTAATATATAAAATTTCAAAATTTATTTCATTCATTCTTTATATTTAAAAGTATTGATTTTTTCAAATACAAAAAGTTTGCGTTTCAACAAAATTGGTAAATTAAATAATGGCTATCCCTTTATTTTATTTTTTTGATTTGTATCTATGAAACTGTCTGAACTGAATCAATCATAATACACAGTATCTTTACAATATTATTGGACATAACGTCTTCCACTTTCCTCTAAATGACGCTTTTGATCCTGTTTTCCAACATATCGAGTTTTCAATTGTTCAGGTGTCATGGTTGAATCCTCTTGTACCGATTTATTATAAGGTTCCGCCAATGTAAGCATCGTTCGAAATTTTTTCATAAGCAAATCGAAAAAACAAAACTTTTTTGGAAGGAAAGGTAAATCTAAATCTTTACATTTGACATTCTTTCCATTGATCTCGGTGTGTTCCGTAAAGTTTGGCAGCGTCAATCCATGGGTCCAAATTTTTTTATGCAAATTGAGCAACATTTTCTGTTCTAATTCATTCTTTCGATAATTAATAGCAATCGAATAGTAATGACGATTCGATCCATGGATCAAAGCCTAAGTAAGGATAAATCAAAGAGTTAACGAATACAAACTTTAAAATCAAAACAGATATAAATTAATGATCGTACTTGAATACTTGGTTTATTAAGATGTCCAATATTGGAAGTGGTTTGACGTGGCTCTTGACCTAGCATAAGCATTTGAGGATTGATCAGGCGAAAAGCATCAATAACTACTTTGCCTTTGACGGACTATATCGGATCAACAACAACAACAGCCATAGCCCTTTGATTCAATGCCTCAAAACTTTGTTGTGCATTTATATCTACACTAGACAGCCAACATCCAAATCCAGGGTGAGAATGATACCAGCCAACCACCATTTTGGGTCTATAAAATTCATTAATCGAAATCAGTCATGAACCTCAATCTCATACACAAAAGAACTTCAATTCACACCGTCCAGTTTGCTTGAACATATCCAACATTTTTGGGATCGACCGCTTCTATGGAAACGCCTGTACCACTTTGAGGCATAGCAAATACATCAATTACAAGTACACGAATTCACCAAGCATCAAACCCATAACTTCCATAGGTACTTCGGCACATCCTATCAATAATTTATATATTAACAAATATAAATTGTTGTTGAATAATACTTGGAAAAATTAAATAAAACTAACCGTGTTTTAACATCTATCAAATAACAAATATAAAAATGAAAATTATTAGCGTGATGAATAGTATTTTCTAACCCAGTAATAATCACGCAAAAACCAGAATTTTTATGACAACTGATTTGATTTCCTACCTTAAGAAAAGCTAAAGAATATAAACCATTTCGACTTATCCACAGTTGGAGTATTTGGTGCCCAGTCCGAAAAGTCGTTGAAGTCTTTCCATTTTCAAAAATGACTAGGTAATTGCAATTTGGATATTTGATCAAAATATCCTAATACCGGCCCAATGACCATGTCCATAAATTATTTTTGAAAAGGTTGGTGCTTATATTTTATGAAATTAATACTTAACAAATTTGGAAGGTGGACTTGTCGATCACAAAAATTAAAAGAAATTTATGATACCTAAGGATCGGGAATGACTTGAGAGATATTATCTTTGAAAATTTCGTAATAATTAGAGAGATGATGATGATAGTAAAATTTATGATTGCTCCCAACGGTTGGGCAAAGATTTCATGAACCGACGTAAATCGGAATAAGGAATAATAATTTTCATTGTTCAGAAAAATCGTGTTACCATCCATCTTTATCACGTTTTTTTTTTGTTGATTGCTAAAAAAATTAATGGTTCTTTACGAAGTAATAAGAAATAATTAATTTAAGCATTTTTAAAATGATAGCCAATTTTATCTTTGTAATTTTTTTTTTTGGGCTTGTACGCTTTGTAGATTTGACGTCTTTATTCATTTTGGATTTCTGCAACATTTATAACAATATCTCAAAAGATGGCGGTTACGTAAATTCATAATCCAATGTTCAGTCCGATTAAAATTTGAAAGACGGTTTAGCCGTGACGCAGGCACATCCCATTGAACCGAAGATCATTTCCATATTTACCTTGAATTGATAGATATCCAATTAAAAATATCACCAAGTTGGTTTTATAGTATATTATTAAAATTTAGAATAAAAAGTATTTACAAAAAAGTAAACCGCATCCCTTTTGTTAAACTAAAAACTCCCTTTATGTATATCAAAAAATTTTTTTTCACACTTAACGTTAATACTTGTTTTTTGTTTTGTTTTTTTCCTCCTATAAACTTGAAATGAGTTAAAATGTCTTTCGACTTCAAAAATCCAAGATAAAAATGGACTGACTGTTTACATTAGGCAAGAAATTATTTTGGACGAACTGGTCTATTAGACTTGCGTCATTTTCGGTTCACTTAGATAAATTGAAAACAGTATGGTAGAAAACCGGTGGCCTCCTCTCTAGTAGGTAGTCAGTTTAGCATGTTTTTTTATTGGTGAAGGTCTACTAATTCCCAGTTTTCCTTTGCATACAAAAACCAATATGTCTAGCAAGTTACTCCCGAACCAAGTGCGAGAACGTCCTTCTATATTTGTGTTTATTTACTTTAATTGGCAGCGTTTAAGGAAATAGTTCTACCTTTATGGTCAAATGTTTTCTATTATAGTTGCCCATTATTTAGGTGAATAAATGGAGGGAGAACTGGAAGCGCTTCGTGGCCTTTAACGAGAACGTCCTTCTCTTTTTTGTTTATTTATCTATTTAGTGGCTTGCTTAGATTCATCTAATCCTTTTTTTTTTAATTTTTAAATTATTAGGTAACGAACGCGAGGAAAATTCCGCGGCTGAAAAATATTTTTTTCCTATTTCAACATGTCAACCAACAACAAAAGAAGTATAGTCTAAAAAAAGAATTGCATTAGTAAGAAATTATTTTGGGCGAACTGCTGTTGGTACTTGTAACAATCGCTTGAAGATCACGTCGGCTGTCTTGTTGCCCTAAATATGTATTGCTTTGCTTTCGTTACGTACCACTATTGTTGCAATCAACAACTTCTCCACAGAGAATAAATTTTAAATGATATCTCCAAAAATCCATGTTAATAATATAACCGGACTTTAAGGGGAAAAAAAAATTGTTGAAATTTTAATGATTCTTATTATATCTAATGGGAAAATAACAAATTTCAAATTATTAATGTCATAAATTAAATTCAATATTTCAATAAACAATTAATAAATAAAAAATTATGTTAAATAAAAGATTACGAATACAATGATCATTGTTAATTATTATAAGTAACTTAGTTTGTAATGAAATATCTTTACAACGTACTAATGTAACGTCAAAATGATCAGTCAATGATAAATGATAAATTTTACATCGATATAACTAATAAATTCATGATGTTAAATTTAAGATAAATTAGATAATAAATTAATTATTTTAATATATCCATCGATAATTTGCAAATTTTTATTTATCATATAGCTGAATACACTGTATAAATAAAACTTTTAAAAGAATCATGTGGATTTCTTAATTTTTTTCGTGCAAGCTACTATAAATGCACTAAACGCCTTAAATGCCGCAAGAACAAAAACATCACAATATCGAAAAAACCCCTGATAATTCCATTATTAAGTCGTTCTTTTGCCAATTTTGTCTTTCCTATCCCATAATAAATACCAGAAGAAATCAGTTGGTATGCCGTTCCAGCTACTGGCATGATGTAAGTGACTCGAGCTATGTTGTTCTCGGTCGTCTGGTTCGGGCTACGATCCTGAAGTTTAGTGTCCTTGTATTTTAATTCAGAAAGCTTATATGTTAAATTTTGCAGACTCTGACTTTCTACTATTTTATTTCGCTGAATGACAGCATCATCATCTTCTTCTTCACTACAAGGAAAATCTACTGGAATAATCGGATAATCTTCTCTAAAATTCTTTTTTAATGATTCCGAGTTCTGTTCGACCCATTTCTGACTACTATTAGTAATAATGATGATGAAATTTTTCTCGTTTCCCTCAAAGATCTCTTTAAATAAGTTGAACATTTTAAGATCTTCTTCGGTAAATCTGCCTTTCTTTTTAACGAAAGCTATATAGTTGAGCGGAAACTGACGAGTAATAAAATAATCTCTTATCTCTTTGACAGTCTTCTTATGCGAAACCTTTCCAGAACAAACTTCATCTACTCTTATCGTATCGTAAACTATAAATTCATCATTAGTTTTACGCTCTATATAAGTACTCACGCTATCCATAGTATCATTGCATTGTATCGAAACACTCGCATCAACAACACCATAATTAACTACGAATTTATTTTCTTTATGACTAATGTCACCTTGTATCAACATGTTAGCAATTGAGGATTTTCCTTGCCCAGTTGGTCCAAAAAGGATGATACTAGTTTTTTCACTCATGTTCGATGTATAATTTATGACATAAATCGACTCGACGGATTTTCAGTTCTCAACCTTGAAATAACGGCAAAATTCACTTGAAATTATCGGAGATGAGTGAGGTGAAGCAGGGGACCTAGAAAATAAGCCTTTTAAATACTATTGTCGACTTATTGTTGCACCGATTTAGTTACAATCGAAACATTCACACGAGAAACAAAAAAATAATTGTTATAGCCTCATTTTAGATAATCCTGTAGAACATAATTTCTAAGCTGCCTAAACAACGTACGTGCGTGTTGCCCAAACAAAAAAAAATAAATTTGATAACGATGACGGTAAAGTTTAATACAAAAAAAATTCGGTGGTTTTAAATAATAAATTTATTACAAATAGAAGGAAGCATTTGTTACGTTATTTTGTGTAATTTGTGCAACCTCACTTTTAACTAATGACACATTATAACCCTCATCATTGTAAATAAATTTTTTATATCGTTTTTTATAATGACATTTTTTTAGTCACATGATATCAGATGCATATTTAACAGCCCGTAAAAAATGGTAGCCGGATTTTATTTGCTACTTATTAGGGGTTGACATATAATAGTGACAATTAGAATTTTTCTCAACAAAAAATTTCTCTTTCCCTAGAATACTTAGTAAATTGAAGAACGGCTGGGATGTGACGCGATGTGACAAATTTGCTAACACTCTTAACTAATCCTAATTCTACCCTAATCTTAATCCTAACTTTAATACTAACGCTAACCCTAATAATAAATACCCGGCAAATAAAATCCGGTTACAATTTTTTACGGGCGACGCTATGTTCGTCTGCATATTTTTTGACTCCAATAATAAAGGTAGTCTTAAAAAAAATGATGTTAATATTAATGAGTTAATATTTTGCATTTTTTTTTTTAATCAATGTGTTATATAACTTATGTTAAATTTGTAATCGGAAAATTATTTTGCAAATAAGATTCTATATAAGATGTAGTTGCAAGACTCGGTTTCTTCTCTTAACCAAGGAAATGGAATTGTAGTTGAATCATTAAAAGCAACTTAATAAATTTGTTTCTCTTGAATCGATTCTTTACTTACAGTTGAATAATGTGAAAATATCAGATCTTTTATAGCATTATTAATAAATAATGAACTAGAAAGTTGATTGCCTAATATATATATTTATATTTTTGAATAAATAGTGATATAATAATGATGAATGTTTAGGATAATTTCAGGGATTTTAGAAGAAATTAGATCATATTTTATTATATTATTATTAAATTATTAGTATTTTTTTGAATAATAATAATGACAAAAATGAAAATTTGAAATAATTTTAGGGATTTTAGAAGAGAAATGAATCATATTTTTATTATTTTATTATTATTTTTAAGTTTTTTAGATAATGATAATATGATAATAACAAATATTTAAGATGATTTTAGGGATTTTAGAAGGAAATTAGATCATATATTTAGTATTATTGTTATTATTTTATTATTTTTTACATGATTTTTTCTGTTTTTTACTTATATTTTTTAATAGGAAATTATTCAATAGGTTTTAGTAATTATTTTGTCATATTTTTTATATTAGGTTTTTATTATTAATAAAAATTTTAATATTTATTAAATTTAATAAATTTAATTAAATAAAAAATATATTGATTTTACATGTTTATTTGACTAAATTAATGCTAAATTATGCTAAATTTATATTCTGAATTGATGTTAAATTAAGATTAATTTTAGATTAATTTAAATTTAAATTGATACTGAATTATTTGTCTAATTGTAATTGATCAACATTGATTTATATTAGTCAAAAATTATACAATTTAATAATAATAGTATTAAAATTATTTTAAATTCAACTATTCAATTTCTAGTTAATTTGGACTATTTTAGTAAGTAAAAGGTAAATCTATTATTTAAAAGGTATTCTATCTTATTAATAAAAGTACAAAGATATTTATATATATTAGTTAATTAATAAAATAAATTAAATAAATATAATTAATGAAAATAAAATTAAATTATTATTGGAAAATAAAATAAACATGTCAATAAAATAACTGATTTATAGAAAATTAAATTAATAAAATTTTAATTAATCATTATATTAGATATTAAATAAATATTTAAGATTTATATAAATATTTTAAAAAATAAGTTAATTAATTATTTGCATAAATAATCTTCAAAGAAATAATATTAATATTATGATTGTCAATTAATTTCTTAATAAAAATTTACTTATTACAATAATCAATTATTAATAAAATTTTAATAAAAATCTGATTTAATAATTCTTTTATCTTTTTTTCAGTAAATTATTTATTAATAAAAAATTAATGCAATTGAGTAATAACTTGTAGTATAATTAAATTTACTTATAACACATTTAAGTTAAATTTAAAAATAATTATAGTGATTATCTTTAGTTAATTTATAAGGAATTTGAAAATAATTTGAAAATCAGAAATTAATGCATTAATAAAATTATAAAAAAATTGATTTTGTATTAAAGATAAGGATTGACTAGTATTGATTATATATTTAATAAAAAAATTAATTAAAATTTGTTATATTTTATTTGATAATTTTATTTTTTAAAAATTTTTGTAAATTTCACCTGATTTTAAATTTTTTTTAATTTTACAAATAAATAAATAATTTAAATTAATTTTAAAAATTATATATTAAAAATTTATAGCATTATCTATTCTATATCTTATATAATAAAAAATACTTAAGTAATCACTAATTTTTAGAATAACTATATAATTAATAATGATTAAATTATGTAATATTATACAAATTTTCAAAAAAGGAAAAAAGCTTTTTTAAGAAAAATGGATTACAATTATACAAATAGATTATAAAAGTTTTTTTTATTAGAAATTTGTATAATATCATGTATTTGCTTCTGTTACTTTGCAACAAAAGCTATTAAAACTGATTTTTATTAAAAAATCTAATTTTTTTTTTGAAAATTTTATATAATATTATATGATTTACTTTTATTACTTTGTAATAGAATAGCAGCTAATTACTATATTATGCATATTAACTAAATTATATAATCAAATAAATGTAATATTTTCCTTATGAATAATATAATCACATAATTTATTAAGAGAATTCTTGATTTGACATTTATTAGTTAATATAAAATATTAATAAATATGACTTTTGCCTTTAGGTCTGAAAGTTTAAATTTTAATTTTAGCTCTGAGAATGTATTTATTATATTTTATAAATAATATTTTTAAATATTTTTTCTATTATTTTTCTATTTATTTCTAGAGATTTTAATAATTTATTTAATGTATGATGTGAAGTTATCATTCCTATAGAATTCCTAAATCAAACTTTTACAATCATTAAATTACAGAATTTGATTCTTGCAATGGTATGTTAAATTATATATATATAATTATTAGCAAATTTACAGACAAAAATAATAATATAATAATAAATTAAAGGAGGTACAATTCAAAATAGAAGATTCCGTTCTACTATACAAAAGCAACTTAAGACAGTGATGGGTTTTGAACACATTTTTAGATTTTAATAGTTTTGGACAAGGTTTTGAACATAAGAAAAAGTGTCCAAAACATGTCCAAAATCTGTCCAAAACTGTCCAAAATTGTCAAATTGCCCATCACTGACTTAAGAGGTAAAAAGAAATTAAAATAATGATAAAAGGACCTTACCTTATATATAATGTTCTTAGAAATGATATCTAAAAACGGCAAACAATAATGACAAGGTCTTAAAAATACCAATAAATAGAGATAGATTAAAGATATATTTCAATCGATTATTATAGATCCCATTAGACCAAAGAAGGTTACAAAATATCACTAAGGAACAATGTATATAAATACTCCATTATCGACCAGTCGTTTCACATACCCCAAAAATTTTTTATGGATAACTATTCCAATATCAAGAATGCCAGGCCGCCTAATTATTTTTTTTTTTTAATATATACAAGTCGAAAATCCTTAAAAAGCTCAACATTCCACGCTCGCCCTTGTTATATTTCTTTGCATACATTCACTTCGAAATCTTTCCTTTAACACCTGCATTTACTTAGCTTTAATATTTTGATAAAGCGAAAGTGTAGAGCATCGACGTTGAGGCAACACTAATATTAATTAAATCTAGCGTCAAATTTTACTTCATTTTTATTCAATTAATACCTTCTGCTTACAATACAAATTGTTTATAAATACATAAACGAAAGAACTGTATCTAAAAAAGTATTAACGTTAAAAATTTTGGATCAACATGAATGCGCGGATATGTAGTTTTTTGGGAAACTGAGGCGGCTGAGTCACGAGAATCCTAAAATTTTGTTTGCCCGGCCTAATATAAATTTTAAGCCTAACATTTTCCCTAGCAGCAATTCCAAAGTTTATACTACCTGTGGGTATTGATCGGGCGGCCTTTTTATTAAATCTTTACTATTTCGTATATATGGATTATTTTGAAAGTTTGAAGGAGTGCTGTAAAGGAATAAATCTGTGCTGTACCTCTTCAAAGACTGCACGTGATAAGGTTAACAAACTTTTTTTAAAAGAGCAGATTAGGTATTTCATTTATCGCATAAGGTTTTACTTGATATTGTTCTTCATTGACACGAATAAGGCAATAGGTACTTTACATATACAGTATATAGATAAAATTTATTAAACAGTTGTAAAGTAGGAAATATATATATATATATTTTAACTGGCATATTGCTTAATTTTCACAGTTCAATTATTTATACAATTCTCATTGCACTTATAAATAGTTTCCCTTCAGTCGTTCTTTCCCATAGTAAACGCCAGAAGAAATAAGCTGGTATGCATTCCAGTTACTGGTATGAGGTCAATGATTTTAGCTACATTGTTCTCGATCGTTTGAAATGAGCTAAGGACCTGAAATTTAATACCCTCATATTTTAAAACCGAAAGTCTATTAGTCAAAAGTTGAAAACTTTGTATTCTCCTTTTTTTATGAAAAAAAAAACAGCATCTTCATCATCATCTTGATCGTCCCGAGGAAAATCGACCGGAATAATCTGATAATTCCCGACATTCTTCCTTAATGTTTTTATGTTTCATCAACCCATTTTGTCTAGAATGGTGATAATGATAATGAAAATTTTCTCGCTTCCCTTGAAGATCTCCTTAAATAATTTGAACATATTACGATCAACATCACCTTTTCTTTGAACGTAAGCTATATAGTTGATTGGTGCTTCACATTTAGAATAATTATTTTGACAGCCTCCTGATGCGGAACCGTTCCAAAACTACCTTCACCTAATCCAATCGTATCGTACACCATAAAATCATCATTTTCACTAATACTCGCACCAACATTATTACCGTGAACAAAGAACGTATTGTCTTCATAATAAATGGCACCTTAAATAAACGTTAGCGATAGAGGACTTTCGACAACCAGATAGTTCAAAAAGGAAGATACTAGTTTGTTCACTCATATCGATATATAAGTTATGTCGTAAATCAACAAATGTATGTCTTCAAGATGTATAAAAAGCGTCTCCTGAAAGTTCGATAACGGTTGAGATTTCTTAAATTTTCTATTTCTTTGAACTAGCGGAATAAAACGTCAGGAGATAGAGATTTAGAAAAAAAAGCTTTTTAAATACTAAATTTTTTTTTGAAAATTTAGTAGCTCAATATAAATCTGAAAATTTGGTTTAACTAAGAACGTTTATTACGCCTAATTTTAGATAAGGCCAGGCAAAAAAAATTTTAGATTCTCGTAACATTAAATTTTAAAAATGATACGGGGGGCGGCTTTTTTTTTAATATAAAATTTTTATATATGTATTTTTTTATTATATATCGATATAACATGACATCTAATTAGTATCATGAAATATAATCATCGGATCTTTTTTTCTTTACATTCTCGAAATGCCAACAATTATCGTAAGGGTCAATTTGTTAGAAATATTGGAGTAGTAATTGAATGTAATGAATGCAACAAATGGCGAGTATTATATAGCAAAAGCAAATTATCTCCTCTTGAAATATCCACTTTGGAAAGGTATTTGGATACTATCCAATATATTTGTGGTGATTCTTTTGAAAATTTAGGTGAAAGTGATGATGTGGGAGAAATTTTTAAAAAAGTTAAAATTGATAACGGCTTGTTATGTGATCACCTTATGGATTATTTGAGGACATTTGTTCTCAGTGTGGAAAAGTGCCAGAAAACGAATGTGATGAATCCAATAAAGTTAGTGTAAATGAGGGATATTACTATTATTGTGATGAATGTTATGTAACAACTACAGGTAAAAAAGAAACGCACCAAAATACTAAATTTCAATAAAAAGATCACGAAATTAATGTATAGCGAATTCATTGCATTGATTTTTAAAATTTTAGAATATAACAAAAAAAATCGATCAATACTAAAGTTGTGGGCGAAACCAAAATCTTAAGGTCGAAACGTTTCGGCTTTCAAGAACAAAAATTCGAAACTTTCCGATAATCCGAAACTAAGACGAAACTGGCGAAACTGGACGATATTTGGCGAAACTGGACTTTACTAGTGAAACCTTTCAAAACTAGTTAGCCAATCAAAATAAATGCTGATTTAAACCATTAATGCTAAAAATCAATAAATTAATATAAACTAATTACAAAATTTATTTATTAATACATTGAAGTTGCTATATTGATAAATTAGGCTAATTAATGCGC